TGAATTTTCAGTAGTTGTTTATACTATCTGATTGTTCTGCTTGTATCCTGTAATCCATCTTGAGTCTCAGCGAGAAAGGCAGGCTATAAAGTAAATAGAAGTAAAAAAAAATGAAATGTATCTGAGTGATAAATACTGAATCCCAGCTCCTTGATAGAACTGGATCTAGGCAGAACAATGTGAGGCTCCTGGAGCCAATGCTCCCTCTAAGTGGTGGAGACTTGTCAGCAAAAATTCTACTTTGTGAGCTACTGGCATTAATGTTGTGAGTGAGCAATTTGGCTACTGCATGAATTAGTTTGCTCTGGAGCCATCCTTCCTCTTTTTTAACTTTTTATTTATAAATTTTGAAAACTACATTCTCTACAAAAGGGAAGGGTAGTGCATGGGACACTAAGACTACTAATGTGTATACAGAAGTTAAGGCAAGGATCAAATTACATTCAAATATTCTAGTTACTCCGTCCTGCAAACTTTCAATAAAAAACCAATAAGTGTGATACTAAATGCCTTATTTTAGCTACCATTTAAACTAACTTGAGCCCTTTGACAATTTTTGAGTGCATTACAGTCAAATGTGAGCTATCAGAATTTCATCTCTTGCATTTCGTGTGTTTCTTTTTGTCATAGTCCAGTTTAACTTTGCCCCTTTTTCATCATCAGATTCCTCTGAGGAGCTATCAGACATGCTTGAGCTGTCTTCTGAGTCTTGTGTATTCTTCTCTTCTTCTTGTACGTCCTCTCCCCCCCCCTTTATCTGCCGGTTCCGACTGATGTTCCAGAAAAGTCTTTGCTTTCGGCGGAGAGTCGATCTTCATCTTTTAACTGCTGTGGTTGAATATAAGTCTTTCTGGAAATATCCCTCTGAAGGGTGGAATGGTTATGTAGAAAGGAAGTTAACTTTTTATATTGTCGTCTCTGTTTTTGTATTTCAAATGGGATATCTTTCAAAGTCCTCACTTCTTCTCCTTTAATTTTCAGCACCTTGTCATTTGTCGCTTTCAAAATTGCATCTCTAGTTGATCTTTTGGAGAATTTAACAAATATTTCAATGGGTAGGTTATTTTTTAAATGTAATCTGGATAAGTTCAATAAACCAACTCCAGCTCACTTTGCAATATTTCCGCTTTAGCTCCTACCATTTCTGTCAGTGCTTCACTTAATATTTCTTTTAAATTCTCCCCTTTCTGTTCAGGGATGCCCTGAAAATGTAGGACATACACTGATTTCTCCATTTGTAGCTGTAATAGTTGTTCTTTATCGGAGGTCTGCTCTTTTTCCATTACCTCCAGTCTCTGTTTAATCGAATCTGTCTTAACATCAACTTGTTTGACAGCTTTGTCAGTTCCATCTGCTCTCTTCTCTAATCCCATCAGTTGTTTCTGGAAACAGTCAAGTTTAGTGTTGATATTGGTCATCTGGTCCAACAAAGGGCATAACGCCACTGCCATCATAGTTGGAAAGTCTGTAACTACTTCCAGAACAAGAGTAGAGGTCACTGAGCTGATAGTTCCTAGCAAAGGGGGGTTTTTTTAGCGCCATTTTCTCCCTCGCAGACATTGTTTAAACAAGCTGATAGTTCACTGGGTTTTTTCCAGTTTAAACTGTTTTTAGCGCCATTTTCTCCCTCACAGACATTGTTTAAACAAGCTGATCGTTCACTGGGTTTTTTCCACTTTAGACTGTTTTGCTCTCTATTCGCCCAAATTAAACATTGCTGCCTTCAGCTCGCCCCCAAACTTCGCTTAAGAACCGCTGTAAGTTTCTTTGGGGGGGGGTGAATCCCAGCTCCTCCCCTCCCTTCAAGTCATTTGGGGCTTAAGTTATGCTTCTCTGCTTCACCACCTCAAGTAGTTTATAACAGTCATTTGAACTCATAGTTCATTCGATTGACTTAATGTACTGCAGGAGGTTATGCTGGATCGCATGCCCGCTTTCGTCTGGTGTATTCCTCTAGTCACCATGATGGCTTCATGGTGGCAGGACCTAGCAGGGTAAAGAAGTGCCTCAATCCCTCGGCCATTGCCTGGGAAGAGGAACCTCTTGCACCCCAGGCTAAGAGCCCCCTGCAAGGGCTCCGGGGGGCTCAGAATCATCTGAAGCCCCTCCTGTCCACCACAATTTGGGGTGCTCCTAACGGGGCCTGTTGGAGCATGCCTGACAAGGGAGTTGCCAAAACTGGAGGTCTGGAGCCATCCTTCCTGAGCAAGAACAAAAACGTGTGAGCCAGAGGCTAGAAAACTGTGAGCTAGCTTACACTAACTCATCTGACAGGGAACACTGCCTGGAGCATCTGTAGAAACATGGGATACACTGGTTTTAGCTAAATAAGGCTGCATGTTTACCAGGGGAAGGCTATATTGGTCTCCATTGGACTTGAGGAAACATGGGTAATATTGCATTGGATATAAATCTAACACTTCCTCAGGCTCCCAATCAAGCTACTGGCTTTCTTGGGGCTAGGCTGTCATCCTGTTGCTGATTTATGATAAAGAACTAGAAGACATCTCCCACACTTGGTCCTACCAAACTGTTGAAGAAGCTATCAGATCTACTTAAAAGGAAGATGACCCTGAATGGAAGACAAGCCACCTAAGGGACCGCCTCTTCCCGTATGTTCCCTCAAGAGCCCTGCGATCGGGGAATCTCCATCTCCTAGAAGTTCCAGGCCCCCGAAGTGTGAAATTTGCCCAAACCAAGGCCAGGGCATTTTCGGTGGCGGCTCCTACCTGGTGGAATGAGCTCCTGGAGGAGATCCGGGCCCTGCGGGACCTTGTACAGTTCCGCAGGGCCTGTAAGACGGAGCTCTTCCACCAGGCTTTCGAGTAGGAGCTGTCGTCGTCACTATTCTACCACCGAGATACCATCATCCATCTACCCCTATTATTGGGGGGGAGTAGATGTTGCCCAGCAGAGAAGGAAAAATAACTCTCCTGGTGCTCACGCGATTAAGAAAGTTGGCGGCCAATGTGAGATACTGTTCATCTTGTGATTTTATGTAAATTATGAGAGCACCGATTTTATTATGCATGTTTTACTGTTTTAAATTTTAATTCGGCATGGCCGCTTGTTAGCCGCCCTGAGCTGCTGGATAGGGCAGGATACAAGTCCTAAAAAGAAATACATAAACAAATAAGTGTTATTTTATAAACACGGGGTTGTTGTTTTTTAATTACTTGCCATAAGCATAATGTGTATGCGAACATAAGACAACCACCTTTTTATGGCATACCTGGAAAATATTATTGTATTTCAATAAGCAGAGTATTTCCGTATGATGTCTCTCAAACCAGAACAGTAAACATGTTTGCCATTTAGAACTCAGACTCTTCCCATGTAATTATCTCCCTCTGCAATTGCCCACATCATTTCAGTTCTGCAATTTTTCCCCCTCTCGTAACTAAGGAAAAGTCAGGGTTAGTGAGCAATTCTGAAAGAGGTGATAAATGAGGATCCCTGTGCTGTTAAAAATGGGCACAAGAAACGGGCAGAAGGTGCTGTCAGTTCTGTCTTTCATACTTGGTTTGAATCCATTAGCCCTGAGACTAGTACCTGCACAACTTCAGCTCTCTTTCAAAGCATGTGCATTTACTCATATATTACTGGTAGAAATTCTGCTGATCTGGGCAGCTAACACCCAACGTAAACTGGCCACAAGAGAATCTGTATCTAGGCTGAGGTCTGCTGACAGGATGGCAAAGCTGGTGTTCTTGATGATTCTGTTCTCTCCCATGGCACGTAAAGTCAATATTTGGAAGTGCCTCATGAGTGATGCAGTCTCAGTTCCACATGACTTCTATCGGTCCGGGGATGTCCTCATTGGTGGGGTTGTTTCTCAGATTGTTTACCCTCTTCACACATTTTCTTTTGAAGTGAATCCCTCAAATGACCCTCTTGACTTTCCACAGTAAGTGTGTCCACGCCTCACTTGAATCATGTGAGCCTGATCAGATCATAAAACCCTAGCAATTGTTCTTGACAGTGATAGGATGGTCCAAGTGTTTGCTGTGTTGACAATGTAGATGTTGTTTCTTCTCCCAGAATGAGAACTCTTAGTATTTTGAAGGTTGGGATGAAAAAGGGATAACAGAGAGGGGCAGGGGGAGAGATAGATTTCAGTGGTCTTAGACTCAGGTAACTACAGGATTTTACTGCACATGTGTTCATTGCACCAAATTTGACATCAATTAGATGGATGCAAAGACTGTAGAATGTGAGTGTAAAAGAGTGTATACAATAAAGGCAATGGCAAACTCTTCCAAAACATAAAATTAAAAACAACAACAACACAACAACCCTGAAAAATATAATAGTATGGGGCAATCCGAAAAAATATAATTTAAAAAAAATTGTGCATTGCACCTTTAACACTTCTTATCATATCCTTGTTTTTAGGAGACCTGCATAGTTTTTTTAAAAAAAGAAAAAGAAATAATATTATTGTGTGATGTTAGAGTCCTCAGCACTTTATAAAATTAGGTATGCCACGGAGGAACCAGATTTTCTCTCTTTCTCCCATAATACACCAGCTTGAGAGTTCCCAGAGAAGTTGAGGGGCAATACATTAGGGCTGGGGGGAAAATAAGAAGAATTTCACTCAACAAGTAATTAACTGGTGTAATTCAATGCTAGTGTACATAGTGACGGTCACAAGCCCAGATAGTTTCAAAGGATAAGACAGATTTGTAGAACATAGGCCTATCAATGGCTACTAGCAGTTACCCACAAATCAACTTGGATGAAAGTCCTGGGTGAGAAACTGATGAATGTTGATCGATACTATTTTTGAGATGGGCAAAACCAAAGCATTTTCTGTGATCAAAAAGTGAGTCCTGGAAATCAAGCACAGTAGTTTGATTCTGAGAGTCTGCTGAGTATGCTCACACCTATTTTTTGGTCTTTCTTACCCCCAAATCGTTACCATCCCATATTATTGCAGAGCTTTTGTTGTTTGCAAGACTGAACATTATACCTACAAATGGTTTTGCAAGGGAGATTTTTGAATAGACCCTACACTGTCAGAATTTGCCCTTGTGGCCTTAACAAGATTGATAAATCGTTTCATGCCTTGCTGGAATCCAGAGTACTATATTAAGGTTTTTTCAACCAATCTCCCCCCATGCTCCAGAAACCCAGGTTCTTTTGCTCAGTGATAAGGATCCTAAGATTGCTCTAGCAAATGCAGAATTTCTCTCAATCCCTTTGGCCCTTGCATCTAAAAGATGCTCAAGATTCATGAATCTATGAGCTTCTAAGGGTACAAAAGGAAAGGAAAGGAATGGCTAATAGTCATGGTGACTATAGAGAACTTCCACATTCAAAGGCAGTAAGACCTGGAATAACACTACTATGACTGAAAATCAGAAGAAGGCCTTTGTCTCTGTGCCCTGTCTTGGGGTCTTCAGGGCAACTGGATAGCAGCTGTGTAAGAGAGGGAATGTGGACTACTGGTCTCATCCAGAAGATCTCTTCTGATGTTCTTCTGTGTTAAAGATTCTATCCCCTGGGGCCCATGGAGGCAAACCCTCTAAGAAGGAAATGTGTGCATCGTGCCCATTGCAAACATATGAGCCCTAAATCACCATATATCACACATTGTGCTGCTTCGGTACATTTTAAACTCTGGACGGCATATTGTAAGACATTTTTGTGTTGCACAATATTGATCTTCTGGTGTATGAGAAATGCTTTTTGGGCTGAAGAAGAATATGTTTATTATTACTTTACATATATAATTAAACCACAGGAAGAACTGTTGCTAACCACTGTAGAATTTTCCCTTTAAAGAGCATGCTATTCTGTTTACAGCATGCTAACAAAGTACTACCAGCATGTCCTGGCTTTGGTGTTTGCTGTAGATGAGATCAACCATAACCCCAAGATCTTGCCCAATGCCACTCTTGGGTTCCACATCTGTGACAGCTATGACAATGTCCAAATGACCTATTGTACTACTCTGCATCTCCTTTTTCAGTCAAGTAGATATTTTCCCAACTATGAATGTGGTATTCAGAAAAACATAATGACTGTCATTGGGGGACTTAGTTTAGAGATCTCCTTCCATATGGCGGACATCTTGGCTCTTTACAAGTTACCACAGGTAAGATTTGTGCATGGATTACAATTACACTTCCTTGTCTGGGAGTTATTTTGAGTTTTTGAGGGAACGAGAGGTATGTAGAAAGAGAAAAATGTATTAAAGCCTGTTGTATAAAAAATATTCTTGAGTTGCTTCTCTAAGTCAGTGGGAATAGCAAGTCTTTTAAGAGAAGCCAATGTTGCATCAGGCCAATGGCCGATCGAGTCCAACAATCTTTGGAAAGTCTTGTCAGAAATATTGTGCTCACGAGCATTTGCTAGAAATTGCACTCTGTCGCCAAACCTTGAGAATATTCAGTAGAACAGTCTTTGATGAGGATGCTTGGTTAGCCACTTTGGTCTGTAGCACATTTGACATACTGGACTCAGTCAAACATTCAGCAAAACATTTGCTTGTGTTTGAATCATTTGTGTCTCAGGCAAAGAGGACATGTGTGTTCTCATACAGGCCATCATTATCCCCTGTCATTCCCTCATTTTATAATGTCCTAGAACATTAACATTTCAGCATTACTGACTTTGTGAAGTATCTCCTGATGCACTTCATGGTACTTGGATTGTGGTTTATTGCCAATGCTATTTGATTTTCTAAAAAATCACACAACCATCTTCAGACAGTTCTTCATGGGAACTGTAGTTATGTTGGGAAAGAAAATCCTATATACCAAAAAGAAGAAAAATAAAGGAATACAAACCCAATTTAAAAATTGGATTTGTCATCGCAAAGGTTGGGAAGGAACAATGTTAAAAATTAAACAAAAATTATCAATTTGTTGTAAAGTGCACTTAAAATGCAAATGAAAAAACATAGGCCTTGAAGTTAGCTTCTAGACTGAAACCAGTGGACTCAGGACTCCACAGTGTACATTAAATAATACAAAGAAAGTTCCACAAGATGATGACGTACAAATAAGACCACAATCAGATTAACAAAACAGGGTTCAAGCCAGTGGGACTTTTTCATATATACCCTGTACACTACAAGAACCATGTGGGTATAATAAGCCATAACAACTGGCGATTGATTCACATTTTATACTGCATGGCCAAATTGTGATATCATTAGGATCATGGATATTTCCCCATGATTTTCATGCTCACACATAAAAAGGTATGATAATAAATTATATCTAATATTGACAGTTCAATCCCTCATGGTGTGCATGCATATATCAACCAAGTATCTGACAAAATGTGCAGTTTATCTGCTCAACCTTTCTGGTACCTAAAGGGAGAGGAAAGACTACAGACTCTGTTATGATATCAGAACTTCTTGGATTATTTGCAGCACAAGTCCAAAAAGGAACTTGTTTACTGGGGCATGACCTGTCCATGATCCTATACCATATGTAGCAACATGAATGAAAGTCTATAGAAGCAGCTGCATGGAATTTTCTGTTGGGTGGGGCCCGGGGGATGGAAACATTGAAGAACAAATCTCAGTGATAGGAGAGGTGCTTTGGATTTTGAGTTTAACTCTGGGCAATTCTGAAACTCCATTCAGCAAATACTCATAGCATGAAGAAGCACCAGAACACAGAGACAGCATTCTCTATAAATTTCTTAAAATACCTCTGCATTTCCCTTTAGCTCACTTATGGCTCATTTGCCCAAGAGGAGAGTCATACAAGACAGTCCCCTTTGTTTTACCGCTTGGTCCCGAATGAACCCTATCAGTGCATAGGAATTATCAAATTACTTCAGCATTTTGGGTGGACGTGGGTCGGGCTCTTTGCTGTGGATGACGACAGTGGAGACCATTTCTTGCAAACCCTTGAGCCATTGTTTTCCCAGCATGGAATCTGTTGGGCCTTCACAGAGAGAATCCCAAACCAGGTGAACTGGGATAAGCTATACGAACTTTATACTGTGGTGTCAAATATATATCTGCCTTTCAGAGAAAGCAAAGCCAGTACATTTATCTTCTATGGGGAATCATGGACAATGACAACCTTGACTGGTGTTCTGTCTCTAGCAGGTCATAGCTATACAGAAAATATGTCATTGAGAAAAGTGTGGATTATGACAGCCCAAGTGGATTTTGCATTAACAGGCATTCAGCGAGACTGGGATTTCCAGTTCTTCCACGGGGCCCTTTCCTTCAGAATTCACTCAAATGTACCCTTTGGATTCCACAACTTTCTGAAGAAAATTAAACCATATTGGGAACCCAAAGATGGGTTTCTCAAGGAGTTTTGGGAACAAGCATTTGGATGTTCATTACTAGACCCTCAGGATACAGAGAATGATGATGCAATGTGTACCGGGGAGGAGCGCCTGGACAGCCTTCCAGGGCATATTTTTGAAATGAGTATGACTGGCCATAGCTACAGCATCTACAATGCTGTTTATGCCACAGCACATGCTTTACAGGCCATGCACACCTCTATGTCCAAGTACAGAAAAATATCACAGAGTAAAAGACTTGAATTTCCTCATTTCTATCCTTGGCAGGTAAGATCTTGAATGTATTGGTGCCAAATGAGGCAACATGCATTATTAGTGAGTGGTTGTGCATAGGATTCAGTGAGAGAATCTTGTGTGGTGCTGAAAAAGAATTAGCCATAGATTTTATTCTTCTTGTGCTATGAAATGGCTGCATTGTTCAGCAGTTTGGCAAGAAAGACCCAGAACAGACTGTTCCAGGTTTTCACGGTCAAAGTGCACCGACTGATGCGGGAGCATACTGGGACAAATATTTGTAATCCCAGTAAGAAGAAGAAGAAGAAGAAGAGGAGGAGGAGGAGGAGGAGATTGGCATTATACCCCGCCTTCACTACCCGAAGGTGTCTCAGAGCGGCTTACAAACTCCTTTCTCTTCCCCTCCCCACAACAGACACCCTGTGAGGTAGGTGGGGCTGAGAGAGCTCTGACAAAAACTGCTCTTTTTCAAGAACAGCTCTTGTCAGAACTATGGCTTGCCCAAGGTCATCCAGCCAGGTTCAAGTGGAGGAGTGGGGAATCAAACCCGGTTCTCCCAGATTAGAGTCTGCACACTTAACCACTTCTTTTGTTCTTTCTAACCACTTATTTTGTTCTTTCTAACAGCTGAACAGATTTCTTCAAGGCATTTCATTTAACAACTCAGTAGGTGAACCTGTGTCTTTAAAGAAAAACAGGGAAATGGGAGATAGATTTGATATCATGAATTTGGTCACATTCCCAAACAAGACTTTTGTTAGAGTGAAAGTTGGAAGTGTGAATTCCAATGCTGCGGAAGAACCAGTATTCGTCCTTCATGAGGAGAGAATTGTGTGGCAGACACATTTCAACCAGGTGCCGTTCATGGGGCCTTCTCAGAAGCCTCTCCATTCACTGGCTTGGGAAAGCTGGTTTCCTTTTCTTTATACCCTCATCTTTTCATATTTGATCAGCTTCAATTAATTTTACTTTTATGTACTAAAAAGTAGGGGCTTACCTCAGGGAGGTATGATGTTGGAATCTTTGCAAGTATGAAGAACATGACACTATGCATTTAATGTGCTCAAAATTGTATGCACGTGAATGCCTGTGGCCATCACAACATCGAGAGGCATCAAACACCTCATTTTAATCACTCATTGAGTAAACAAGAATTTCCTTCTGTCCATCTATCTTTCCAGTCTCTCTACCCCTTGAAAATTTTATATACCTCTGTCTTGTTCCCCTTCAGATGTCTCTTTTCTATACTGAAACATCCCAGACTCTTCAGGTTTTCATTATAGGGAAGGTCTTCCACTCTGTGCATCTCACTTGCATTGATTCTGTTTTACACACAGTTATGTTGTTTCATGCTAAACCTTGTTGTGGTTAAGAACACCTCCCATTATGTCACATCAGTATGTTGCGATTCACTTTCCTTACCCTCCAAAATACCATCCCCTCTAATTAAATGATCTCTTTAGATGAAATGATCTCTTTAAACAAAAGTCTGGTGGTGAACAAGATGGCAGGACTGGGGCAAGGGTCACAGGTTCAATCCCCAGGCTCTCACTGTATCTGACAGGAGGTGACCTATACCTAAAACCCTGAAGAGCAATGGCCAGTCTGAGGAGACAATAGTGACTTCAGTGGAACTTAGAATGTGTTGCTGTGGTTTTTGGTGTGTGTGTGTGGGGATTAGGAGTCTGAGCTTTCTCGTCTTCTGTGGACAGTGAGTGTGATCTATTGAGAGACGATGTGTGTTTGCCTGGAAGAGGGATGCCTTTGATTTATTATTGCTTGTAACTCCAAAGCAGACTCTTTTTTCCAACTGTAGCCAAGTCAATCTCTCTCTCTCTCTCTCTCTCTCTCTCTCTCTCTCTCTCTCTCTGTGTCTCACATATAAGCTGAAGCTCTCTCTCTCTCTCTGTGCCTCACTTATAAGATGAAGGTAATGATGTTCCTTTTCCAAGCTGCAGGGGTTGGGAGGACAGTGATTGGTTGTGAGTTGCTCGGATACTAGGCTAGCATTAATGCTGAGGTCTGGTGGCTATGAGACTCCTAAGATATATTGTTGCCTAGGTTGTTCTACTCTTTACAACCCGCTGTGGTTTCAATCTGTGTTTTCAGGGAGGGTGAGGGGAATGTGGAGGGTCCTGTCTTGGGGGCAGGATGTGAGGATTCCTTGCTAATGATTATAAGCCTGCCCAGTCCAAAATATCCAAGGTGTTTAGTGGCACCTAAGTCAGTTAGGAAGCTTCATGTGTTCATGTGTTTTGTAGGCTGGAAATCAATTGTAATTCTGAGACAATTCCCAGTCCCACCTGAAGGTTAACCATGCAAAGTACAAGTTGCAAAAGTACTTTGAGTCACCAATGAAGAAATACTACCCGATGGTTAAAATTGTTAAAATGCAATGTTTGTTGTTATTACCTTTTTAAAGCTCACATAAACAGTCAATCATGACCAGTTTATCCCATCTTATTTGTTGATTTTCTTAAAAAATAGAGGAGGCCCGTTTCTGTGTGCAATGACTACTGCCGCCCTGGTACCCAAAAGGAAAAGAAAGAAGGGGAGAAATTTTGTTGCTATGACTGTGTCCCTTGCCCAGAAGGAAAGATTTCAAGCCAGCAAGGTAGGCGGTGTGTGATGAAATACTATGCAGACTCGTAGGAGTTTAAGCCAAAAGAAATCAGTGGGCTTTGAATGGAGTATAACTGCAGATAATGTAACTGGAAATGCAGCGATATCAACGTGGACACTTCCATTGTCATGGGGAATTCCCTCCTACAATTCCATCCCAAAAGACTGCAAGATCCCAGACAAGCTTACAAATGCACCAACCTGGTTGAAGCGGCTTCTGTGATGGAAATGAGTAATAGGTGGGCAGAATAGAGGAGGACACAGCAATTCAAATAAACATAAACATATATTTGATTCCCTGAAAGCTTTAAGGATTTTATATTGAAAATCTGAAAGAACCTTTATAAACTTTTGACATGCAGGTATGTATGCTATTGTCTTCAAGTCACAACTGACTTCTGGCATTGTCCACAATGATAGGCATTCAAGACAAATGAGTCGCAGAGATAGTTTGCCTTTGCCTTCCTCTTCAGTCTTCCTTGGTTGTCTCCCATCAAAGAAGAAACCCTTCTTAGCTTCCAAGATATGACAAGACTGGGCTATACTATCCCATTCCACATCCCTTTACACATAGAAGAAGGAGATTAAATGGCATGGGAAGAATGCCAGACTACCCTGAAATCAAAGATCGGCTTAAAAAACATCTGTCATATAAACTGAAACATAAATAGACAGGAGAAAGGGAATCATGTAACAATTAGGAATGATAGGTTCAGTCTTCACAAAAACGTGATGCTGGCAAATACAGCATGTGATTTAGAAAATATAAAGGTCCCCAGTTCAACCACAAGCTTTAATGAAAGGGTCGGTGGCTCAGTGGTAGAGCATCTGCCTTGCATGGAGGTACATAAGAACATAAGAGACAGCAATGTTGGATCAGGCCCATCCAGTCCAACACTCTATGTCGCACAGTGGCCAGAAATACCAGTGCCCCTCAGATATGGTTGATTGTATCAAGTGCCCAGAAGATCAGTATTCAATCAAGGGCAAAGATGGATGTATCAGCAAAGTGATAACTTTCCTGTCATCTGAAGAACCTTTAGGGATCAGTTTAGTTTTTCTTGCTGTTTCTTGTTTCCTAATCACAGCCTTCATGCTAGAAGTTCTCATTAAGAACAAAGATACCCCCATTGTCAAGGCCAACAACCGAGGCATCACCTAAGCCAGTAGAAATCAGGGGTCTTGCAATGGAATATAACTGCATAGAATGTAACTGGAAATGCAGCAGTATCGACATAGACACTTCCATTGTCATGGGGAGCACAGTGGGATTTCCCTTCTACAACTCCATCCCAAGAGCCTGCAGGATCCCAGACAATCTTCCCAATGCATATACCTAGTTGAAGCTGCCCCTGTGATGGTAATGGGCGATAGGTGGGCAGGATAGAGGAGGGCACAATAATTAAAAGAAACATAAATATGCATTAGATTGCCTGGAAAGATTTAAGGATTTAATATTGGAAATCTAAAAGAACCTTTATAAACTTTTGACATGCAGATATGTATGCATGTGGCTTCAAGTCACAACTGATATCTGGCATTGACCCCAGCAATGGGCATTCAAGGCAAAGGAGTAGCAGAGATAGTTTGCACTTGTCTTACTCTTCAGTCTTCCTTGGTTGTGTTTCAGTCTTCCTTGGTTGTGTTCCATCACAGAAATAACCCTGCTTAGCTTCCAAGATCTGATGAAATTGGGCTATACTATACCATTCCACATCCCTTTACACAATTATAGGAATTACTAGCAGTAAAGCCCGTTGAGGAGGAAGACAACGGACCCTAGAAAGGTAGGGTGGGTGGGCCACAGAGAGACAGACAGACAGACAGACAGACAGACAGAGGGGTTTGGGAGAGAGAGAGAGAGGAAGGTAGGAGGGGGGGGAGACAGAGACAGACAGTCAGAAAGACAGACAGACAGACAGAGATGGAGGGAGGGAGGATTTGGGGGGGGGAAGGAAGTAAAAGCGATGAGGGGGTAGGGAGAAAGAGTGAGGGAGGGAAAGAATGAAAGGACATAGGGAGAAATGTAGAGAGAGGGAGGGGGTAGTGGGGTAAATGTGGGGGAGGTGGATGGTCCAGCGCGTTCACCCCTGACCCGCTCCCCCCAAAAGTCTGTGAAGTGGGGGGTAGGGCATCATTGTAGCTGTCAAGAGGCCAGGTCTAGCAATGTAGTGGATTGGGGTAGGTAGATCTGTTCTCCAGAGGCTTCTGGAGAACAGGTCTACCCACCCCATTCCAGTGTATTGGTAGACCTGGAGTCTGGAGAACAGGTCTACCCACCCCATTCCACTGTGTTGGTAGACCTGGTCTCTGGAGGTCTACCCACCCC